ACATGGCAGAATACTGACTCCCGCCTCCCCCAAATACTGACTCCTGCTTGCCTGGGTGCCTCCCCCTCCCTTGCCGTCCAGTCTTCTGTATCTGTCTTTCAGAATGAGAGAGAGAGCGGTGGAGAAGCAGAGGGAGACTGACGCTCCAGCACATGCCAAAGCATAAGAAGAACCTCAGCCGCTCGGTAGGGCCCCAGGGGCCTAAGATAGATGTGCTGGAGAGGCAGGCAGGAGCTGAAGCACACAGAGCCTGGCTAATGAGTTCGGATCTTGCCGGAGGACAGTACAGGGCTATGGAAAGAGTTCAAGCTGGAGCCTGCCGTGAACACTCTGGCACTAAATTAGCCACATTTTTCATAGCATTAGCCAATGATAATCAACTTTGTGGTCATGACCCTGAGGCCTCGTAGGAAGCTAAAGCAAAGCCTAAGAAAGGCTCTGTTCAGTGTTACATACTTCTAGGGCCAAGTACATTTTATTTTATTTTCATTCTTAGGAAAGCGGTAAATTCTTTGTGGGGAGGACCCTTGTCTTTTTTCTCTTGTTTCTGAAAGGGTCTGGAACAACACAAGGGCACACCAGATCTGTCCAACAAATACCAAGTGATGAATTCATCTAATCTGTGCACATTACAGAGTCCTAGCTTCTAGTTATTTAAGGCAATTAACTGGAACATTCTTGTGGAAAGTAGAAATGAGGGTGGGGACATGGACTTTATTGTAGCAAGATGTTAAAGAACAAATGTCCTAGGGGTATTTATTGGAAGTTAGGCTTCTATGTAACGGAGGGCTGTTCATTTTGATCACAAAACCAATGAGAAAGCTGTTCCTTTCAGACCACAAAACGGCAGAGGGTTATTTCTGACTTCTGGTAACACAATGTAAAATGAGCAGTAGAACTATAACCCCTTTCTTTTGGAGGGGAGAAAGGGGGTGCAAGGAAACCAGAGTCACACGGAGGAACATGGCCTGGGGATGTACTAGGGAACATGGATCTTCCAAAACAGCACTATCTTTACAAAATGCCTTGAACCCAGTTTCACTGGTTCATTTGTTCAACTGCTATTCGTTGGGCCCCTCCTATATCTGGGGTGCCAAGTATACAGCGGTGAACAAAGCAGACACCATCTTGTTCTGTAGCTCCTGAAGATTACACCAAAGCAGGGAAACAGGCTTGAGACAAATAAACACCCTAACGAGTACACAGTAAGGTGCTATGAAAGAGAAAAGAGCCCTCGGTGGGGGTCAAGGCAGGTCTTCCCCAGGAAGAGTCAGAGAAGGATGACCAGGGAAAAGCCAGGACAAGACTGGTGGGGAGGGGGCCCCAGGCAGGGGAGGTTCCATTCCAGGGCCCAGGTGGAAAAAGCTGGGTGCGCCTGAGGAACAGAAAGGAGGCTAGGCGAGGGTGGCTGGTGGAGGTGCCTGCCAAGGGGTGTGCACTGTGGAGGGGCTGCAGCAAGAGGCACAGAGGCCCAGGTCAACAGTAGGAAAAGGCGAGAGGGTGAGGGCCTTCCACGTGGCCCACAACCTCTTCCAGCTCGACACAGGTAAAGGTCAGAGGCTGGGACTGGCTGGCAGGAGGCTGCAGAGAATGGACAAAGAAAGTGGCAAGAGAAAGCCTGGGACCAAGCTGAGGTGACTTTGCAAACTCTGGGTGTGGCCTTCCACCACTCAGCCCGCAGCCCATCAAACCAGCGTGATAGCAGGCACCCTAAAGCCTTGTAAAAAGGATTGCACGTGGGCGGGTGCAAACTTCCAGTTAAAAAATAAATCAGTCATGGGGATGTCGTGTAGGGCATGGTGACTGTAGTTAGCAGTACTGTGTGGCGTATTTGAAAGCTGCTGAAGAGTAGACCTTAAAAGCCCTCGTCCCAAGGGGGCCGTGGGGGAGGGGGCCAGTGGTAACCGGGTGACAGTGTATGAGGATGGATGTTAACTGGACTTACTGTGGCAATCACTGTGCACTGTATACAAACATGGAATCGTTATGTTGCACACCTAAAACTCATATAATGTCATATGTCAATTATATCTCAATTTTAAAAAAAAGTGTTGCATTTCAGCGAAGTCCATGCCGGGCTCGGGAAGGGTGCTCAGTATTTCAATGACATCAGGAGGCAGGACCCACCCGGTGCCAGGGCAAGTCCTGGG